TGTTACTTCCTTCACTTCTCGTCGAGTTCGTTTTATGTCGCGCACCGTGTTAAGTGGTTTACTTGGATTTTTGGTTCTGGTATTCTGTCCCTGTAAATTACACAAATAGCCCTTTATATATGCATGTTTACGCAGACGAGCAAATTTCACATAACCAAGCCAACCAATTTAGCGCAAGTTCGCAACGGTTTACGTGAATAAAAAGCTAAGGTTGAAAAGAATACTTCTGCACAGAAAGTGTCAATGAGAAGAATATCGTTCACAAACGAGGCTTGGTGGTATAATTTGCGTAGGGACCGTTGGCTGCCCAGAATGATGACTCTTGGAAAATGAAGGTGATATCAGCGTGGCAAGCTTTCTGAAAACTTTGCCCAATTTCAGACCAAAATAATTTATTTTACTCGCAGAGCCAATTCCCTTCTTCAGAAACTCGAGGAAGAAAGGGTACAAGTGATTTCTGGGGTCTTTTTTTGGACAAGCGGTAGTTACGAATGGTCGACGGTATTTTAGCAATCATAAGTGGCGCTTGTCCTCCCTCAGAGATCCCAGAAATTCTTGCGCCGAAAGCTTGTATCCATTTCCTTTATAGTTTCTGGAATGTTAACCTGCGGGGAGCAGACGCTTTTTTCGGCTCCTTTTTCACCTGCCGAGAAAATATCAATTTTGTCTGCAGTGCAGGCGTATTTTGGGCGGGCGACAGGATACTGGAATGGGGAATATAGGAAGAGGTTTGCTGCGACTGGCTTAGTGCTTTCAAAAAGAGTGTTTAACAAGAAACTGACAATGAACTAACGTCAGTGTAAAGCTCAATTAAAGCAGACACACAGTGATCACAGTGATTTAATTTTAAAAAAACTGTGGAGTTTACTGACAAGAGGACAGAGAATGTGACTGTTGGTATAACAGAAACGTGACATAGTGAGAATCAATATTAATAATAATTTAGAAAATACCATGGATAGTATAAATAGTTTCACTACATTCTGGTACAAGTCAACTTTGCGTTACATGTGTTGTCACGCTTACGTCAATTTAGAAACGAGAAGGAAACTGGTGCCGAAATTGTCCCGCGATTGTTTCTGGGATTGCTACTGGGGACGCACGGGGCAGTTATTAGGGAACTTTAGCAGGCGTTTTCCACGTCAACCGGAAGTGAGGACTATGCCTTGACGCTATAAAATTTGAATTACTTAGTTTCTTTAGACTTGAAGAGAGGAGTTAACTGAAAATGTGGGCCAAGACTACTGCACAGGAATGTAAAAAGTCCACTTCCGGTTGACGTGTGTCGCTCAAAAGCGCTTTTGCTCAAGTTCTCTATTGGCCAATCTTTTTCTCTGGCCCAAGTGACAGTCCCAGAAGTCTTTACGAAAGTTAACTCGACCCAGTTTTCTCATATTTCTAAAATGCCGATGTCACAGTGATATGGGCATCCCCGGGTTTTAGTCATTCCCATTCCCAAAACCCTTGATATGGGCATCCCCTGTAACCCTAACCGTAACCCAAATCGCTAAGGTAATATGAGAAGGGGATGTCCATATTACTAGGGTTTTGGGAATGGGGATGCCCAAAACGCGGGGATGCCCATATAACTGTGACACTGGATGGTTACCACAGAAAGGAAAGCGTGACTTAAACGGAGAACAATCATGTACCGTTAGTTCGAGCTCGAGGAATGCATTTTTCAATCGACTACAAATTCTTATCTGTCAGACATACAGGACCACGGAACTCTGTGGAAAAAAGGCAGAAAAATTTGATCCTGGGATCTACAACAGTGTTCATTACCCGGTTTAGTTTTGTTTCGTTTTGTTTTGTTTAATTTGTTGTTTTTTAGCTCCAACTCTCCTAGATTGTTGATCTGATGAACTTCTTAAAATGAAATCAGTAGACAACAAATATCACGAAAGTAAACTTATACGGCGATCACGATCAACCATTCGGCTGTCGAAGAACATTCATGCAGCCATCCCAGATTGCGGTGAACAGGCGGTTTTTTGCGGGGGAGGGATGGTGTCTGCTAGGATTATGGCTAGGACGAGTTACAAGGAAACAGGGGCACGAGAAGTGCAGATACCCAAGGAAAACTTACCTTCCCCTTCCCCTACCTCATGTTTTGGCGCCTTCTTTTCAAAATCATTAAAGATGGGCGACTGCAGGAAAAACTAAATACCCACTCCACGGCAAGCTAGGCGCCTCAAACACGGGAAAACACGAATGGAAAAACGGTTTTCGTTTGGTTTTACTTTTACGGCGCCGTCTGTGAGGTATTTGTTTTGCGTTTTATAGCCGTACTACTAATATGGTTCCGGCTTGAGTTTGTGGCTGATGTAAATAAAAAGCGGGCCTTTTATCATTAAAGCAAGAAAAATGGTCACATATGGGCTTTTTAAGAGTTTCATCAGATCAGTTTCGTTGGTCAGACTCTACTTTAACTTGGCAGGGAGGGGATAAAAGAAAGAGAAGAAGGCAAGAGGGGTAGGGGGATATATTCAAGGGAGGCGATTATTTTAAATATTTCCGTCTAAAGGAGGCGATTAATCGAGACACAGCTATTATTCGAGGGAACACTACATTCATGATCATCATCACTTCCTTTTTCCAAAATGGAATACAAGGCAGGAAATCATCCTTCTCCAACAGTCTCTATCCAGGACAACGATTTAGGCTTCAGCCCTATTCAGTGCGCTTGTAAAGATGGGTGGACAATTCTCTGCTGAGTGAAAGTAGTACGTGTCTACAAAATCTATTTTCTGTGAGACTGAACTTCAGTAATTGGTGGTTCCTCGCTGGCAGCGCCCATTAGATCATTAGTGGTCTTTACTGTTTCGCACCCAGACCTGGTTAATGTGAACCGAAGTAATGTTATATGAGATGTAAGCCGCAGCGCCGAGATCTACTTCCCTTTAGCCTGCAAAGCGGTCCTTTTTTCTTGTTGTTGCCCTCAACGCCCCCTCGCCGTTGCCTCCGCTCGCCTGAAACACGCAAACAATTAAGCCTGTTGCAGACTCGGTGAACATCCATTGCTCTTGTGGAACAAAAGTTGGGTTTTTGGCGTCCTGTTCGAGCATTCAACACAGAGACTGAGAAAATCAGAATTCATCGGATAAAAACACATATCAGATGTTACTAAATAAAAAGACAAGAAACAAGGGCAAAAATACAGTTATATACGTACAAGTGAACTAAGTCTTCCAAAATTTTTAAAATCTAATATTTATACAGCAGCTTGTCTATAGTTAAAAATTAATCTGTTAAAAAAATCTGTTTTTAACACATTCAAAA